AGAATACTCAGCTTTGATTGACTTCCCTATGGAGGAAACAAAAGCAATATTGGAAAACACTGATCCTTCAGAATTTCAAAATCATCTGTAAGATGTAAACATAATGACAGGTGACTTCTTTTTGCACCCTCCTGGTATCTGCATTTCTAGATGGCACTGTTCTGGTGTTTCACTTTGTTCTGGTGTTGCCACATTTCAACCAGCTTGTCTGTGTGTAATACAAAATAATTCCTGATTTGAAGCGAGTTTGTCCTGCAGGAGAGCAGCAAGGTACCTCCAGCACCTCAAGTAGAGCCTACACAAAAACACCTCTCCCTTTCTCCTCTCTTGTAGTGATCCCCAAGGTAACCAAGCACTTGCTCTCCAATCCCGTCTTCACCTGTATCATCCTGGCAGCCTGCATGGAGATCGCAGTGGTGGCCGGCTTCGCCGCCTTCCTGGGAAAGTACCTGGAGCAGCAGTTCAACCTCACCACCTCATCTGCCAACCAGCTCCTGGGTGAGTAACCACAGGGGCCACCAAATCTCCAGTGTCCAAAGGCATCTAAGAGTGTCCAGTGGAGCTGGTAACCACAACCAGGCTTATTGGTTAGGCTGCTCACAAAGTGGCTTGCCCAACAACTGGAAATGAGTCTGTGAGTGGGTGGATCTCAACATCAAAGTAAGGAGCTCGCAAGCTGCTCTCCTGACAGTTATTTATTTTCCCGTTGAACTTATTGATATCTTCTGGGCTTTGGCCTGGTTTTCTAAAAGAAATAATCCCTGCAGTCAACCTTGCCTCCCTCAGTAACAGAGGAGCTCACTGGTGAATTTTAATAGGATTTGACAGAAAGGCAGAGGTCTCAAAGATGTTAGGTTCTTCCTGCTTTCCTGAAAATTAAAGGTTTGGCAAAGGAAAGCAACTTCACTGTTGACCCACTGTGAGAAGGAAAACCTCTGTGCTGTTGGTGGTAGATGCCTGGCCAGTCAGCATTTGAGCATGGATGGTCAGCAAAGAGGGAACCATCTCTGAGTACATCCTGCTTCTGACCTAGCAGTGGGAAAGGAGACTTTGATACTTCCATGGCCCACATAACAACTTGTTTAATCTAAACAAAGTTGCTACCAGATCTCCCACATGGCATTTATGGGAGTCCGTAAATGCCAGGACTTGGATGGACTTCTAAGCTTAGCCCAGGTAGGTAAGGCCTGGAGTAAAACTGGCAGCAAAGGGATAAAAGCGAACCCAGACAAGCTTAGTGTGATAATGCCTTGCTGTGCCTGGAAACTGAGTCACTTCTGGCAGTGATTTTGCATCTCACAGTTTAAGAAGATTCTTTAAGGCAAATTTTGTATTTTCAAATGTGACTATTGCCTAATTTCTGAAGATCAGGCTGCTGTGAAGTATACCAAGCAGGGCTCATCCAAAGCCTCAGAAAATTCTTGACTGTTGCAGGAAGCATTAGAGATGCTGCTGCTTAGTTTAGCGTGGGCCACTTTCAGTAATTTTGGCATCTCCCTCCAGTATGGATGAGAAGTGGAAGAAGATCCTGGTTCTTCTGTGCAAGGCAGCATACCTGTTTCCATCCATTCCTCTTTTTTCCAGCAACCTCAGCTTCGTGCTGCTCATGATAGCTCACATCTCTCTGCTGGAAAGTAAAAAGCTGTAATAGCGTGGTTCACTGAGCCTCACTCACACTTGTTACTGATTTTTCCCCTTGCAGGGATGACAGCAATCCCATGTGCATGTCTGGGCATCTTCCTGGGTGGCCTCTTGGTGAAGAAGCTCAGCCTGTCTGCTCTGGGAGCCATCAGGATGGCCATGCTGGTAAACCTGGTATCCACAGCTTGCTACGTGTCTTTCCTGTTCCTGGGATGCGACACAGGACCTGTGGCAGGGGTTACTGTTCCCTATGGAAACAAGTGAGTCTCCAAAGAGTTTCAGTGTCTCACACAGCCTTATCAACCTAATTATCATGCTATTGTCCTCAACAGGCAGCCTTCAGGCAGTGCTGGCCCTTAGTCAACCATATCGAGCAAGCATATCGAAGGCAATGTCATACAGGGCTCTTAGTTTGGATATTTTCATGCCACTCATCACTGTGAGAGTTGAGTACCTGCAGCTGACAACAGTTTTACTAAAACTGGTCAAAATGTATCAAAAGATGCCAGACCTGATTCTGCACCCATGGCCACCTACATAGCATTGGGTCCATCGCACCATCTGGTTTCTCCTGGCAGTGAGAGACATGTGCTGCTTTGTACATTTGTTTAAGTGCCTGAGGGGAATTCGTAGAACTGGGGTTTAGGTGCCTGGAAATTCAGATATGGTTAGGAAAGTGTATGCATGGCTCCAGGCCTGTTCTGATGGAAGAAATGGGGCACACGTTGCCCTGTAGCATTCACAGAACTTGGGAGAGAGTTACTCGATATTTTCTTTTCTGGTGCTCCTCACTGTGCAGTGTCAACTGTTTTGAAGATGACAGCTCTCGGTTCCTCACTGTTACTCTCCTAGAGAAAACAGCTGAGTCTCCCCTGGCATGTTTTTGGAATATTTCCTTGGGATAACAAGGTGGCCCAAGCCTCGCATTGGATTCCCCATTGCAGAAGGATCATGGCCGTGGCATTCTTATCCCCAGGGAGAGGCTGTAGCCTGGATTTCTTCAATTTGGGACCCAGAGAGCTTGCCCACTGCTATTTGTGGTTTATTTGCCTTAACTAACACTCTCCAAAGCCATCTTTCTGTGGCACCGATTGGAAAAGCTGGTTTGATAATATTACACTGCTGGCTGATGTAATTTCTCTTTCTCTTACAGCTCAACTCCAACCTCATCTCTGGACCCATATTCCCCCTGCAATAACAACTGTGAATGCCAAACTGATTCCTTCACTCCAGTCTGTGGGGCAGACGGGGTCACGTACTTATCTGCTTGCTTTGCTGGCTGCAGCAGCACGGTGAGTGGGCTTCTCTCGTTGTTTTCCTGAATCTGGTTCCTAGACACATATAACCAGATCCGTATTTAAGCTTTCCTTCCACTCCTCTTGCTTCTCGTTCCTTGCTTTGCTCTGAGGCAGTGGCAAGAGAAGTTGTCAAGGCAGCAGAGACTCCGTCCACAGATGTTCTGCATTTTTCAGCTCTCTGTATCTAAGAGTTTATTTTCTCTCTTGAAGACCAAACCATCTCTGTCTAAAGAAGATGTAAGGAATTCTTAATAATATCTTAAAAGCCTGCTTTTCTGTTTTTTACTGCTGAAATGCTAATGTCTTCTGCATTACACTGAAAATGAGTGCCTGCTACTCCTGCAGGTGGGAACTGGCAGGGTTTCTGCGATCCTTGCTCCCTTCCCAGGACCATGCCATGCATGGGGACTGCTGCCTGTGTGGAGCCCACGGGAGGTCAGCCTGGTTGCAGTGACCGTTCATGGCTGCAGGGACATCAGTGTTCACCACATGCACTTATCCCTCTATGGCTGCATCCTTCTTTTTTGAGGAGACATCAACCCTCCTTTCTGCCCTAAAACCACCTGCGAGTGCCGGTGAGGGAGGTGCAAGCTCGCTACTAGCAAGTGCAACCTCACAGCCCAGATGACCTGAGAGCTTGTCCTGCTTAAACCTCTTCTCTCCTCAATTTCCACTCCAGCCTTGCAGATGCAGTCATCCCTTTAAACACCACAGTTTCAAGGTGGTTTCAGCAACCCCACAAGGGACTCCACAAGTGTGTGACACAACGCAGAGGTGTTACCTCCTGCCCTCTTCCTCCTCCTCCTCCTCCTCCCAACAAGAGACAAGTCAGCACCTGGGGCAGCAAGATGATGGTTTTAACAAGAAACCAGCTTGTACAGAGCATGCAGAAACCAAGCCCTTAGCAAGAACTCAGCCGGTGCGGGCTGTGGCTGGAGTGCAGGGTTGACCTCCTCACTGTGTGGTTCCAGGAAAAGCTCCGGCTCCTCTGGGAGGAGCACAGTAATGAAAATTCAGCTCTGCCCCTTCAGTCTGCAGCTGCCTGACCTCACGCTCTACAAGAGCAAACCTCTGAGCAAAAGCCTCGCTCTTCCCTCACCCTCTCCTTTGCTCATTCTTTCTTATTTTGCCTTTTCATCATCATCTTGGGGTTCTTTTCATCACTTTGTTTTGTGGGGTTTTTGCAGTAACATTTTGAACACAAATTAGTGAAGCAGTAGCATCCTCTGGAAAGGGCATTATCAAGAATTATGGATTAGTTTGGTCATGCGATGGCCCTGAGGCAAAGCCAAATTACCAAACCAGGTTTTAAACCCATAATCCAGGTAATGACCTGTCTAGAGGGTCTTGTGAATGTTATATGCTTGTGATGAGCCAAGGGTTGCTTTTTACTGGGACATAAAATTCTCTGAATGCTTTATTTAACTTTACTGCATTGGACGTTTCTGACTGCCTCTCTCCGCTTTTCCTCTGTGAACAATTTCTAAAAGCAATGTGTAGCTCAGTTTTTTCCTTTTCATGTCTTCTTTCTGACTGAGCTGGTTACAGAGGTGCACCTACCCAAAAAACCAGGAGTATTGGTTCTGATAGGCAGAGCTCTGGCACCCTCCGGAATTTCGCTTTTAAGTTCCTGGGAGTGACCCTTTTGTATGAAGCCTTTGAACGTGCATCTTGTTCACTTGATGCCATTGCTTTTCTCAGTATCCCTTTTGGCTGGAGATGCATAAATTCCAGCCTGGCATTACCATGCTGGCATCTCAGGGTTTGCACCAAAGCACCAGCCTGTCCCTTCCCTGTCAGAGCCAGTGTTTAAAAAAAATGAGTAATTACAAACATGGGTAATTTGCATAGATAATTACTCCAAAATCAGGATGCTGTTAAAAATGCAAACTCTGCATCTGTGCAGCTTCCCATGCACAGAGAATATCTGGGTGTGCAAGCTGCGGGGCAGTGGAAGGCAGTGATAATGTGTGGTTAAATGCAGTGGCGTTGCAGACAAGGGAATCTATAGCAATTTGGCACAAGCAGCAAAAAGTTGGCTCTCTACAGGACAAAGGTAAAACTCCATCTTTGATGTTTCAGTGTTTGATGTCTGTGAACTGTGTAGCGCGTCAGTAATAAAAGATCAAAGATCTCCCAGGTAAGGAGGTGCAGTGCTAAGCAAGCAGATGTAGTTGGTACTAACCTCGCACGCTGCTTTGGGCTAGCACCTCGGTAGAAAATGGTTGAAAAAGCAGAGTGAGGGGCAAAGTTTCATGTGATGGAGATGGGGACCTGCCTCATGGTTTTTTAAAAAAAGTCACGCCAATGGGAGGAGAATCTGCCCCACCATTGCCAGAAACAGGTATTTTCTCTCCACTGATGGGAGCCCATGGGAAATAAGCAACCAGTTCTTTGTATTTACAATGATAGGAATTTCATTCCAGGTTATTTCAGTGCAGGTATGTATTTTCCTGGACTTAATTTTAACCCACAGGGCTGTGTCCAGGCTGGTTGCTAGTAATGCATTGCAGTCAAAGCCAGGAGCTACAAATTCCCGTTGTCTCCGTGCAAACATCACTGCAGTGGTGCTAATTGTTGCCATCTCGAAGCCTTCAGGTGGCAGCTTCTAACTGTCAGCATGGGAATTTGTTATGTTAATTATTGCTTGCCAGCCAGAAAGGCACCTGCATGTCTACTCCAGCTTTCCTGGAGTTCTGCACTGCGGTCTCGCTTGCCCTCTGTGCGCTTATTTGGAAGAAAATCATTTGACTCCTATGCAGAAGAAAGAGATTGGTGTCAGAAAGGCTGGGGTAATATCGCCACGGATCCTTATCTTTGGAGGCAGTGAACCAGAAAGCGAGCTTTTGTATGGTCCTAAGGGGACCCGAGCAAAAAAGCGAAGGGATTTCTGCTTGAACATGGTAGGAGAAGGGGAGGAGATTTAGCTGGTTTTCAATATGTTTTATTTTATGGTGTTACTCCTCTTAAAACATGTGACCTGCAAACCCAGCGGGCTGCCGAAGACAAGCCATGAATCATTTATGATCGTTTCGTTTTGTATTCGTTTAGGGATTTCTTGGTAGTACTGTGTGCCTTAATTGCGCTGACATCCCCCACTCGGAAATTCAGGAGGGCGAGTTGGAAAATAAGAAATAATAAAAAATCCCTAAATCTGTGACTGGCAAACAAAGCTTCTTTTCACATCCTGCACTTGCTGGAGAGATCAAAGAAAAATGCAGTCATTTCGCGCTTTTTCTTATCGTGTATTGATAAAGTTTATCTCGCCTGACTTCAGCTTTTAGGTCAACACCGATTCCTCTGAACCAGATGTCATTTATTAGCCCTGTAGTGCACTTGAGTCCAGCAGTGTCTGTGCCACCAAGCTGTGATAGTGCAGCTCTGGGAGAGCCGCAGCATCCATCGTGAGTGGCTTTTTCCCGGGATTCAGGGGGCCGGGAGCAGGCACCAAACCCGCAGCCAACAGCAGGGCTGCAGATTTACCTGCTTTTAATGTACTTCAGTTTAATTGCAACAGCCAAGAGGACGGAGGTAAATAAGAAAGTAATTAGAACCATAATTTGGGGATCTTCCTTGTCACAGGGACGCAGATCGTTTCTTTATTCTCCTCCAAAGGGGCATAACTTGGTAATAATTTTGTCGCAGTGACATTTATGGGAGAGACTTGAAAGGAGCAGAAGAAAAGAAACAAGCCAAGGGACAGCTTTCCCTTGCTGGTAGCATGCATAAAACTGACGTGCTTCTGAAATCCTTTCCAAACCCCTCTCAAATAAGCACTTAGGAGTTACTTAATTGACCATTAGAGGATTCAGAGTTTCTGTTGGTGGACCCTCGTCACAGAGGGCAGGTGATGGGGACCATGGCTTTTGCTTCCCCTGAACCCCTGTGCTCTCCCGCAGAACCTCAGTGGCTGGTCCTGCCTCACCTCGGTCCCTGCCGAAAACGCCACCGTCGTTCCCGGCAAATGCCCCAGTCCTGGCTGCGAAGAGGCCTTCTTGACATTCCTCTGCGTGATGTGCGTTTGCAGCATGATCGGGGCCATGGCACAGACGCCGTCGGTCATCATACTCATCAGGTAGGACCGCTGCCAGGAGGAACGGATGGGCTCACCGCAGGATGCTCTTGGGGTGGGAGCAGGGCTGGGGGGACCATGGGATGCCACTGGGAGCTGAAGGTCCTGCACAGCTCCTGGCCACTGCCTTTTTGGCTACATGTCCCTATATCAATGACTTCAGCTTAAGTGGAGGTTCAGTGCATCAGAAAATCCTCCTTTGAGTACGAGGTGGAGACACCTTGAAAAAGCTGCCCATATTTTCGAAAGAGTTTGAACCTCCTCGGCAGATGAGGAGCTGTGGGCACAGGCTCTCTTGTACATCACTGCCTTTACATGCAAGCAGGAGTTGGGGGTGTGAAAACCCAAGCAGTCCCACCTGAATTTCAGCCCCATTGCTTCAAGTGTTACTTAAATAATTTTCTCTCTAAGCCACTGTTTTGCTTGGTAGCACCTGGTTTGTCCATGGCGTGACCCGACCAAGTTCAGTGCCTGCTAGAGACAATACGGGAAGTGCTCCAGTACAGCTTTGGTAAAATGGGAATGAGGAGGGACTGGGCTTGCAACTCAAGAGATTCCCTGCAGGGATGGTGCTAAGAAGGGTGGTAGGCTCGTTCTTACCAAGGCTGGGATTAGCATGGGAAGAGAAATACAGAAATGCAGTTTCCAGGTAGCAAGGACATTGCAGCTACATCAGGAAAGGGGCAGAATTGCAACACCATGTTGTCAGCACTTAATGGCTTAATAAGAGAGCTTTAGGGGTGGCCCAGAGGTCTTAGAAACCCTGGACAAAATGAAAGACTGTGGCTAAGGCTAACTTTGGTAATACACCTCTGGCTGGAGTTTAACTTCTCTCATGCTGGACCAAGTCCAGGAACAGAAGGCACTTGAAAGTCTGAAGGACATCTCTTAGTTGAGACAATATGAATAGGTGGGCAAAAGTGGCTTATTCAAGTAACTGACCGTGTGTTATTTCCAGACACGTGGAACACTTCACTTTATGATATATGTATATATCTAAGCCCACATTTATCCAGAATTACTTATCTGTCTGGGCTGTCACTTACTGAGAATAATAACCAGAGGCATAAATAGCAGATCCATTCTGCTGCCTGGAAAATTCCAATAAAATTCAATCAATAAGGTCTGTATTAGAAACACACTCTTGAGTGGATCTTGGACAGAACGGCTCTGTGAGGGCATGTCTCCCTGCAGGATGCAAAATTAGATATTCCACCTACTATTTTGTTTCTCTCTTTGCATCTACAGTAGCTAAAGGGAAATCAAATTTCTCATGTGGCAAAAGTAATTTGAAGTTTGAGGAGTTCTTTGTTCGAGGGAGCTGCCAGCACCTGTAGGATCCTGAATGGAGACGTCTTAGCGTCAACTTCAAATGAGATAAGCCAGTTGCCAGCCAGGAGGAAGAATGCAAGGGAATAAGAAAAGCAAAGGGCTTATTAAAATTATTCAGCTCACAGCTGTAGGAAATAAACAATTCACACATCCAAATTAGTACCTACATTCCTCTCAGAATCGCTGATAGCTACTAAAATGCATGGGGAAGAGCTGTTCGCCATGTACCACCTCATGCTCTCCTGCAACTGCTGGAGATTGCTAAATTCTGCTCTTGGATTGCTAAAATAAAGCTTTGGCATATGAGTGCATCCTTGGTGTCCATGGCAGTGACAAGTGGCATTGGCAGCTCCTGTGGTTAATTTAAGAATGAACTTCAGTGTCTACAAATTAGAGGTCTTGTGTAGGCAAGACATTTGTTCACTGCTGTGGTTGGTGAGGAAAGGGGAAGTTTCCAGGTGGCAACTTTTACTCTGCCTTAAGGTATGGGGATTGGTGTTAAATACAAAAAGGTGGACCTATGGATGCCACCACTGATTAAAAACCCACTGTGGATATTTCACATAATAATCTATTTTTTCCATAAAATAAACTTTAATACTCCTTCCATTTCCTTCATTACCCACCTACTGCTGAATCCTATTTGAGCCAAGGCATTAACCACTGGAACATTCTTCCAAGGGTAGATGCTTCATGGCATAAAGGCTTGGTATTGAGCCTGGGGTTCTGCCTGAAAATTCTGCTGAAATTCAGCCAGAGGTCACAGGCTTCACGCAGGAATCATGGTACGATGCTGCATGACCAGTGTAATGTGTGAGATGAGGGTGGGTGATCAGAATGGTCTCTTAAATTTAAACTTTAAATTAAAACCTGATTCCCCTCCAAGGTATTTCTAGAGCGAATCACCACTGTTCCATGGTGTCACTGGCAGCCCTCTGCGAGGAGCTTATGGGAGAGACAGCTGAGGCCTGAGTTCCTGTGTGTGATGAATCTGTTCAGATGGGGATCACTGCCCTGCTTTCCCAGCCTTCATATACTGTGGGAAATAAAATGCTATTACAAGACTTAACAGCAAATGATTTCTGAAATTCCAGAGGCTTTGCTGAGCCTACCCCAAGAGGATGACTTTAGCCAGTAGTATCCTCAAGCTAAGCGAATTAGAAAGCCACGAATTACTGTTTAAAGCACCTTTGACGGATAACAGTAATGCGATAGAGGGGGTTGTGTTTGTAGAAAAAGGCAGTACAACCGTTGTCTTCCTAGCGTAAAAAAAAATTCATGTGCTAAACTCGCACCCATGAAAACTCGTCCTCTTGAGCACATCCTCACTGTGTGGCTCGATTTACCAGGCTCACTGAACCTTTTGGTCCATCATCCTCCCTCCTCTCTCTTGTTCACAGTAGTCTGGAAAGTCTCTAAACAAAAAGTTTTCTCTCCCACCAGTTCTTAACATCTGAAGCCTTGAAAGCAAGATAGGGAGCTTGTAAATGATGATTTACTGGGATGGGAATTTCATTTTTCCCCATCTGACGACAAGATTAGCTGTTGTTATTAATGACTTAGCTAAATTCCTGAACCTATCACTGATGCAATTACTTTTGGGGCTGTAGGCAGTTCAGGCGAAGGGAGATTCAAAACCCCATTAATGACTTTTTGAAGCAATGGTGGTGGCATCCTGGCTGACAGCACAGCATGGCCACGGGGTGTGTTAATCAAAGCAGAACAACAGGAATCGATTTCACTCTCTCCCTCCCTCCTCCCTACAGAACCGTGAGCCCCGAACTCAAGTCTTACGCTTTGGGGGTGCTTTTCCTGCTGCTCCGTTTGCTCGGTAGGTACAAAAATTTCATGTTCTTCTTTCCCATCATTTCCTCCGTCATGAAAAGCTGTATTTTTAACATGCAAAAGTTGATTTCTACTCTGTGCAGTGCTGTGGTTGCCATGAGTAGGGTGTGACACAACGGAGTCTGAGCCCGTTCTGTGAAGGATAAGCACATCAAGGCTCCTGAAGGCACTTTTCCTGCCACTTGAATTGTGCTAATGGAAGAAAATGTGGTGTTGCATGAGAAATGACCATTTCAGCCATGGTCCCACGCAACCAGTTACTCTTCTATAGCTGTTATTAACATGTCAGCAGCTTGCAAAATTACTGCTGTGTTGCATATTGCTGAAGCAGAGGGATATGTATTTTCATCCTCCTCTGAGGGACAGGACCTGTGGTACACAGTGTGTTTGTCCCTTCCTTCAGGTGTCTCGTAAAGGGAAGCAGTGAAATGAGACAGGCTGAGTCCTTGTATCCTCCTATGGGTTAACATCCCATTAAAATGCATATGGCTGTTCCTCTGGACCAGTATGTGCTTCTCATGTATGAATTAAAAGGAACACCCTGGGCTGTTGTTCGCCTGCTTCTTCTTTCTCCTGGAGGATTTTTTTTCCCCTTTTGAAGAAATTCCTCCTATTTTTTAAGCTCCTATATTTCAGCTTATTAATCTTAATGATTTAGGGCAGAATCCTCTCTGATCCATCATTGTGTGGGTCTGTCTCATACACATGGTTTCTCCATATTGCGGGGGTGGAATTTACTCTCTTTTTTTAGCAGTACCTTCCCTGCATGGCCCCCTCAGTCTCACAAGGATGAGATGAAGAGTAAAATGCCATCTCCTAGGTTGCAGCAAGACACTATGAAGTAGAGGACCAAAACCCCCACAGTATTGTACACTCCTTCAAGAAGTGACCTTATTTGTTTACTTCTTTTTTGTAACACCTTATCCCCTGTTAGCTGAAAGGGACATAGTGGTCCCAGAGCAGTTTACAGTAAAACCAGTCAGATTTTCATTGCTTTTGGTGAAGTAGCTGCAGTCACACAGAAAGCTCCATCGAGCAACCTTACCCAGCACTCAGTTAACTCAAAGGGAAGCTTCTGGGTTGACGTGGGTCATCTCTGGTTCAGGCCTTGCAAAGGCAGCACTTTCTTTAGCTGTCGGTGCCGCTCTCGGGTTTTGGTCTGTCCTCAGCTCTCGCTGGCTGAATGCAGAGTGTCAGCAAGCAAGTGCGCGAGGGGGATGCCTGGGAGCTGTTGTTTCCAAAGGAAAAAGTACTTGAGGGAAGAGATTTTCTCTTTTTCTCTTTTCCTTTCAAGAGAAACCTCCTGAGATGCCAACATCTCGAATTCCTCTAAAACCAGGCTCAGACATGTATGCTTAAGTTGAATGGATCTTTTTGTTTTTCTTCCAGTAAAGAAGCCATAGTAAGAATTTAAACTCAAATCTTTATATGTTGCTCTGTCACTAAGGAATTCCCATGAAATAAGACAATACATTCTGAAGCACATCAGCAATGTAGCTTGAACCCATACAAAATTGAGATAAAGGTACTTTTCTATATGAGCAAGGGTATCCAAATTTTGCCCTTAACAACCTAAGGTTTGAGAGTAGCTTTACTGATTTATTTTAAAAGCTTTTCAGTTCACCTTTAAGCTTTGACTTAAGACGAGAGTGATAATAGCTGCTTCTTGAACCAAAGGAGAGTATTAAACATAGGAGGTATGAGACCCGGAGGTGCTATCGTAGCTAATAGATTTCAGTAAGACAGAGGCAGCTTTTTTATACATCCCTACAGTTTCTGCTATGAAATATACATAGAGCAGAATTTTTTTCAACACTTTGCAGTAAGAGGTGAAACAAGATTAAATATCTTTAATATTCACTGTAATAACATGAAGCACGACTGAATTCTCCCGGTATCCTCCTGGATGTATTATCTCATGCCATAGGAATTTTGCTGTGAGAGGGCAGCATAACAGTGTCTCCATATAAAAGTGTTGCTGCAGTTTCTCAGAGAAGAGTGTAAAGCAATGCTGTTGGAGCCAAAGGTTTGGAAAGGAAAAGTCTGGAATGGCAGTTTTGGACCTGTAAGATCCCAGACGCATCCTTTCTGGAAGGTGTTCATGGTACAAAGCCTCTGCTCACCAGGGCGCTTCCTTTTGTTTTTCCTATAAGTCCATGTTGTTTGCGTCTCTTCTTCCAAAATGACAAAACCACAGTGTTTCTCTCTCAGAAGGACTTTCCAATCTGCATTGCAATCCCTCAACTCCCTTGTCTCAGCAAATCTAGGCACCAAGTAGTTCCTGTGAGTTTCTCGCCCTCTCTTCTGGTAAAAATGACCTGAAACACTCATTGATTGCTATAAGTTTTTCATATATTTTTCTTTAAGGTTTCCACATCCATGTCTGCATTCACATAGGTCTAGCTTTGGAGTTCGGTGAAACAGGTCCTTCCTCAAGTCTTATGCGAAGCAATTATCAGGCCAAATTCTCTTGAAACCTGGAAAGCCAGCAAATGGGGATGACGGCTCTCTCTGAAGTTCAGTCCTTGCATCTCCAAAGCCTTGGAGCAGCATCTCTCAGCACGCTGGGAACAAGTAGGGGCTCACACCTCAAAATTATCCTCCAAATGCAGTCTTCTCTTAGTCCAGAAAACATGCAGCTCCTGCTGCATCAGTCACTGCCATCTCTGGATGTTATCCCCTAAGGTGGCATCCAGCACCAGTGCAGCTCTGGGCACAGCCTTTTTGCTTGTTTCTGGCAGGACCCCAGCTGAATTTTTAAATTCCAGGTTGAGTGTGTGGTTGTCCACAGTTTTAAACCAAAAAAACAAAGGCATCTTTTAACTCAGAAGGAGAACCAGCTCAGTCTTGAATTTCCAGTCATTGAAATGATGAACACAGAGAGCTGGTGCTGACGTTTTTTCCAGAACATAAACAGGTTTTTAGATGTGATGACTGGAACTAGTGTTGCTAACAAAAAGATTGTCTTGCTTTTGTATCATCTGTTTTTATTTACTACATTTGTGCTATTAATGACTGGTTAAAATGAGTACCAGAAGCCCATATAGCCTTTCTTAACTCCTGCATTTATTAACATATAAGGAAGATCAAACAAAATCTGCAAAGCTCTAGTCATTGACAAAATAAAATAAAGACATTTCAGTTACCACAGGGAACAGTGAAGACAACCAATTTATTTGTAGTCTCAGGATGCATGTCACGAATGTCACTATTTTGTTCATGACAAGCTGAAGGAAAGTATCTCTTTTAAGCCTGGAAATCCAGGTTAATGATGAAACTGGATCCAAGATTAAACACGTCTCTGTCTAGAAACTGCAGTCCTTGTGTCTGTATGTCTACACAAGTATTTATAGACTCTCGGGCATCACAGCACCTACGGATGGAGTGATGCTGTCAAGGCTATGTTGTGCCTACCTGCTGTTGGATTTCAGTAGATACGATGCTCTCCTTTGCTTACTGTCGTAACCCGCCAAAGTGATTTTATCAATTAGGGGTTTTTTTCCACAGTTTATCAGTTTCCAGCCCCTCCCGACCCTATAAATATAGCAGAAGGAAGGGAAATGGTTATGTAGAGCATCCACGTTTTCTTCTGAGTGCTGCACGCTTGCTGCACATGTGGTGGCTGGGGAGTGCAAAGCTGAAACATGGATGTCCTAACCACCACTGGGGTAATGTGAAGCAGGGGGCCTCTACACTATCCCTGAAGGAGGGGGAAAAGTAGAGAAGAAAAGCATTGCCTTCATTAGTTAAATGAGATTGGAGTGATTACTTGCTTTAAGATTGCAGCTCTGCTGCAAACTATGATTGAGAAACACTCATCAGTACTTAGCTGCAGTGGCTGTGAGAGAATCCTGCTGTGATATTTCATTTAATGGTGCACTGAAATTGTCCCTTTTTTCAGATTTAATCTTTGGCATCTATTAGAGGCCATTGTCTCTTTTCCTTAGACCCGGAGAAAACCTTCTCCTGTGTCAGGGAAAAGCCCAAAACAAGAGTTCAGTGCCCCAGCTGATTTCAGGCTCTGAACTGCAGTGCTACAACCTTCAGGTGAACACCCCAGAGTGCAGAATTACCAAAATCTGATCAGAGAGCAAGCTGAGAGGCATTCCTCCTCCTCTTTCGTTTACCTCTCCACTCAGTCTCATTAGGCAGACAAGATGCTTAATAAAAGCCACTTAAACTTGAGTAAAATCCTCCCTGCATGTTGATATCACCAGGAATCTCTTCTGTAGATGTTGAGTCCAAGATAAAAACTCAACCACAAGCTTTGTTTAGGTTGATTTAGAACTTCAAAAATTAGTATCGCAGGCCGCATCTGGGACCATTAACCTTGAAAAAGTATCCTCTCTTTCCATTCACTGCAATCACGTCCCCTTTCTTTATCACAAGGATCATAAAAGCGTGATTTGTCTCTCTTATTTTGACAGGTTTTATCCCACCTCCGCTGATTTTTGGGGCTGGAATTGACTCTACGTGTCTGTTCTGGAGCACCTTCTGCGGCGAGCAAGGAGCCTGCGCGCTGTATGACAACGTGGTCTATAGATATCTGTACGTTAGCATTGCTATAGCCCTGAAGTCTTTTGCATTCATCTTATATACAACCACCTGGCAGTGCTTGAGGAAAAACTATAAAAGATACATCAAGAACCACGAAGGTGGTCTCAGCACTAGTGAGTTTTTTGCCTCTACTCTCACCCTAGACAATCTGGGGCGGGACTCAGTGCCCCAAAATCAGCCACATAGGACAAAATTTATCTATAACCTTGAAGACCATGAGTGGTGTGAAAATATGGAGTCTGTTTTATAGTGACCGTGGAGGGGTGAACTATATTAATAACACAAGGGTCCTTTTTAATAAAAACAAGGAGAGAGCAAGGATGAAGAAACACAACTGCAAACCAACAACAGCAACACAGGAAACTTTTGTCTTTTTCTCAAAGTCAGCCCCAGCCAGGATTCTTGAGAACAGCACCTTTTAATGGGATCACTTGTGAAATCCTGTGGGGTGATGGAGGAAGCAGGGAGCCACCGTGGCTGGGTACCAGCCCCTTTGATGACAGTACGAGCTTCCGAGAAGGGCATCTGCAGAGGTTCATCGCAGAGCTCGGCAAACGGACAGGCTTGGGCACGAGGCGTAGAGAAAGCAAGGTGATAACAGCAGTGCCGAAATAGCTTTGCGGTTGCAAACAGGGTCCCGGGGGTGCATGGAGCCCCATGGGCTGAAGGGTTGGCCAGTCTGTGTGCTGTTGAAACCCCCCGTGCTCTGTGATGGCAAAGAGGGAGCGGTGCTGGAGTTGCTCCACCAGTCACACGCTGTCACCAGCCATGGGTCCGCAATGAATACCTTGAAAGCTGCTGGAAACCTTCCACGGCGTGAGTGATGCTGTCAGAGATATCCGAGTCCTTCCAGCCCGGGCGTATTCACAGATTCAGCTTTCTGGTGTCTGTGAATAGCTGTGCTCAGATCTCTCAAACCCAGTAAAGTTCAAGACATTTGCTCACACTTGCCAAACGTGCTGTCATTTTTAAAGAGGGATAAATTCCAAATACTTGTCTGTGTAGTCTTCTAATAAGATTTTTTTAAAAAAATTATTTTCAAATCTATGTTAACCCTTAAATCGCTGACACTTTTCCATAGGGAGGATTTATTTATGCTAGTTTGGGGAAGGATGCTGTTTAATTCACCCAAACATAACGTGACTCAAGGGGTTTGTTTAATCCTCTGCGTTTTTTATCCATACGCCTTCATTCTAATATGCTACCAAGCCAATGAAGACACATAATATGTTTTTAAAAAAAAGAACGAATGCACTGTGTCTCTATAAAAACAACTGTCAGTCGGAGAATTATAGATAATATGATGATTTACATAATATAGTTTTTTCATATTCTATGTGACTCAGTGAATACATATATATATATATGGAGAGACTGTTTATGTTCTCTCCAGTTTTTAAAGATATATATATTATTTGCAATCTAGAAATTGTGTGATGGATATTTTCTTTAAAGTAAGTGTGCATGTGTGTGTGTGCGTGTGTGTGTGAACAAGAAAGGAATACTGACCTTAATCCTGCAGCCCTCACAATTGGTATTTTTTTCACCTGAGAAACTCCACTGACTTCAATGGAAGCCATGTGAGGAAGGTGGAATAATCTCCCCTCCTGGAGGCCACGTTTTGCCCTTAGATGTGCAAATAGTGTTCCTATGGAAGGCTGGGTTTTGGGAGCAGAGGCTGGCCAGCATTGAGCACCTCTGAAATTTTCATTCATATCCTCAAGAGGCACCTGTGCAGGAGCAGATTTGCCTTTGCTTCTGTGATGCCGTCTTATCTAAGCCTGCAAAAATCATGGGGAAGCTTTCATCTGATTTCAAGAAGTATTGAGTCAGGCTTATTTTGCATGCATATTTTTCTTTTCTGAAACATTCCTGC